CCAGCGCTGAAGACTACTGCTATGGCTATGGGCGCCCAGCGCCGAAGACTACAGCTAGCGCTAATACTACTGCCTAGCGCTGAAGACTACTGCAGCGCTCCTCCTGAGTGCTGCGGCCGAATCCTGAAGACTACTCGTGCCTACTGACAACTACCTACCTTGCCTGTAGGGCGGGCCAGTCTTATATAGTGCTGGCCCGTCCAGGAGGCTGCTCTTGCCAATGCCCAAACGTGCTAGCCCCTGAGGAAGCTTCCGGGAAGTTTCCAGGTAGCTTCTGGCTAAAGCCTGAGGAAGCTTCCGGAAGTTTCCAGGTAGCTTCTGGCTAAAGCCTGAGGGGCTATAGGCCCTTGTTTTCAGGCTGTCAGGCTGAAATGACACGGGCCCTGTAGGCCCTGGTTTTCAGGCTGTCAGGCTGCAACAGACACAGGGCCTGCAGGCCCTGGTTTTCAGGCCGTTTCAGGCTGTCAGGCTGACACGGACACGGGGCCTGTAAGCCCTTGTTTCTAGGCTTTTAGGCTGAGACTGCGGGACAAGCCCTGCAGGCCCGTGTGGCTACACAGTATGCCACAGGGAGGGAGGGGTGGGGGTGGGGGAGCAAGAAACAGAAACGGGAAAACAAATCCTTTAGGAAAGCGAGACAAAAATAAAACAAAAGAGGAAATGAAACCGATGGACCTGGCTCAGTTGGTACACCCATGCACTATTGAAATACAGACGTCAGTTTGAATCAGATGGAAGTTCATAGAACTAGATGAGTGAAAAAATCCTGAATTGCCTGTGGTTGGTCGGTTTGACAATGATATATCAAGGCAGCCTAAGAGAGGAAGAGAAAAAGGGAGGAGGAAGTTCTGGGCAGGGACTCACTGGTAATCCGGACAGACTTACAAGGAATCCCCTGCCAAGGAATCCCCTGCCCAGAGCTTGGCTGATACTGTGCCCAGCCATAGGCAATTTTAATCAGTGATTACAATCCAGATGGTATGCTGCAGTTGCCATTTGCCATGAACACAAACTTTGGGAACCAGATGAGAAGAGCGGGATGGAGAGGGATACACAAGAGAGACCGAATGTCGTGTGATGAACACGGCTTACCATTTTCCACTGTGGAGCAACAATCATCAAAGTGTAAAAGGGAACGACAAAAGCTGTTGCCAATGTGAAAAGAGCTGATGAGAGTTGGCTGGCACTGTGTCCAGCCATTGCCACTGTCATCACAACCCAGGGCGAAGGTCATCATTACAAATTTGTCAAGGACGAGTCAAGGAAATTTTCTCTCCATGCTCGTACAATCCCACATTTTATGTATGAATAAACAAATAGTTTAATAATAATAACAATAAGGTTAAATAAACAGATAAGTAGCTAGACAAATTAGATATCTTATTATGGAATGCGCATGCTATATCCCAGGTTCATGAACACTCTCTGGCAGATACTTGGATGCCGTTTAAACTTTAAACCACCACTCCAACGGCCCTGCACTGTTCATTTTTCTTGTCTACAAGTACCGGGCCAAAGTCTACAGTGTCCAGGCCCGGTAGAGGTTCGGCACGGAAGGCTACCACAATAAGGCAAGCTGACAGTCAATCCTCCACGATGCGGGAGTAATCAATGCTGGTCAGGGTTCCTTCGGCCGGACGGAAGGAAGCGTGAGTGTGTGTCATGATGTAACATTTCTTTCTGACTTGCCGGTGGAATAGGAACCGGACTGATGCTCCCCAGAATGGAAAAAGAGCCAGGGCCGTAAGGACCTGATTAATAAATAAAATAAAATAAAATAAAAAGAAAAAGGTCCGGATGGAGTGGTGGCCTGTATACGCACAATGAAAAGAAAACACCCAGCTTGGTAAGCCACATCCAAACCACAAATCAGTTGTGAAACTGCGCCCAAGTATCTTCGTTAATCTAATCTACCCTTAGCAATAATCTAACAACAATCCCTTAAGCTACTAGTGCTTAGGAGTCAGGACCTGTTGTGCGTCCTCTGTGGGCCTCTGTGCGCCTCTGAATTTAGCCAGGCACAGGCTGGCCCGTACACCCCAACAGTACAGCGCATATGCAGAACGCTCCTTTCTCAAGTAGTGGTGGTTTGAAGTGAAGACGGGGGCTCTCGTGATAGTAGGTGGCTTTGGAAGAGACACAATGACTTCACATCCTGATCAATACACACATGTTGCTGTTAGCAAACAGGTCAGGAGTTCCAGTCCTACATGTACGTACATATTGCTGTTGATAAACAAGTTCATCGGTTTGAATCCTAATGACAGACCCAACGCAGCCTGTGTGTGCACAGCCGCATGTTCCCATCGGGCCCCACCATTCTAGTGGTTTAAGTAGCCACTGTGAAGTTTCTTGTTAAACCACCAGTACTTCCTAAAGCCACGCCCGTTAACGAGCCACGATTTTAGGAAACATACGGGCCACTACAGAAGCGCCCAAATTCATCCGACCAGAAACGTTTCTACTCTATTTTTTTCCGCGGTAGTACTGGTGGTTTAAAAAGCAATTACGCCCAAACGGCACCGAAAGGAAAAGGCATGTTGAAATTTCACTCCATTATGCTGGTTCATGCAGAGCCTCCAATGTTCCAGGAGGCTCCTGGCCCCAGGTGGCTGCAGGAACTGGTGGCTTAAACCGCCACTACCTTAGGCAGTTACCGCATTCTTCGGGGAACCGGGCCCAACGGCAGCCTCCGTCGATAAATGTCCTCAGCGGCCGCTGCTCCGTTTGGCCTCCGAAATGAGCGGGACCCTCCTCGCAGCTGATGTACATGAAAGGTAGTGGTCCTTTACGCAAACCCACCTCAGCCCATGTCAAGAGAAACACAACCACCTTAGATAAAGTCATTTAAACCACAAAGTTCCCTGGCCAGCTATCTGCAGCACCAAGCCAGCATGGGCCGCATACAGGTTGGGGTTGGTAGTCTACGGGCAGGCAAAATTGAATGTTGGGAAAAGTGGGCTCAAAGGCACTGGTAGTTGAAGGCAAAATTGAGCGTTGGGAAAAGTGAGCTCGGAGGCACTGGTAGTTTGAGTAAGCCATGCATGCCAGGCATGGAGGCAACCTGCTGCAATAAACAGTACCTCCAAACCTAGCCCCCCACATCCACTGCACCCACTGGGAGCCAGGGCACAGGGCAAGGCCGAAATGAACCAAATGCCCTGCCTGTACCACCCCCTCTCATAGGACCTGTACCAAACCTACCTGTGATCTCCAAAAATTCCGGCAGGAATGTCGAAGGTCATCAGAGTACAGACCACTATACCTCCTAGCCTCTTTCTTTTTAAACCACCTTGGGCAAAGGCCTACTAGGCACCGCCATGCTCCAGCCTTTTCGCTCTTGTGGGCCAGGCCTTTCCACGGCACCAGCTTACCCAGCAGATGCTTGCAGCCTAGCTGACTGGGGTACTGGTGGTCCAGGCAACCAAAGCAAGCACAGATAAGTGACCCACTGGCTAAGATGGGCAGAGCGTTTGACGATTGCTCGCCGGAAGGTCAACAAGCATTTGTAAGGAACCCGACTTCAGAAGCTCACAAAGTCCAGTCACACATGAAGTCATAACGATCAAATCAATGATAAGTTGATAACCGCTAAATTGAGATAGCAATGAACGGCAACACCGTGTGAAGAAGAAGAGTAAGAACATCAAAATATATTTAGAAATATATAGAAACACGGAATACAACATTCAAATTGCTTCTCCCTCTTTGACTCAGGACTCCTCTCTTTCCACCTCAATCTATTATCTACTGGCTTGCTTCCCCCCACTCCTTCACAGCCAAACCAGACACAATGCCACTCTCCAAGTCAATCTCTCTCCAGCACTGGCCTATCCAAGGCTAGCGCAATAATGCTGGAATTTGAAATAACAGTGCCTGTCTTCTAAGGCAGCACCGAGTCTCCTTTTTCAATCATGATCACATTGCCACCCTGAAGCTATGGTGCCCTTCCCTCTCATCCCTTGACCTCAGCAGCACCAGTGCCACAGTCTCTCCCTATAGCACAAGTGCCAACAGAATGCAGTTTGGAAAGATGGAGTTTCCTTCTTCAGGTCGCTATGGCTGCTAACCAACAGGTTAGCTTCCAGACCCTGCTCTCTATTAGTCTCTAAGGCACCAGACTTATAACGGTCAGCACTATCACCTGTATGTCTCTGATGAAGAACGACGAGCACATGCCCCGAACGCTCTCCAGAAAAGCTTCCTTTTTCCCCAAGCCGTGTGCTCTACCGCATCTCTCTCCTCTTCTCTCAGTCTCATCCATGGTGTATTAGGACCTCCTACTGGATGTGGCTATCTTTCCCTTACATGGTATAACGCATGCCATGGACTTGAAGTGTATTCTGTGAGAAGAAAAACCTTGCACTTTGAGTCCAAGTTTGCAAGTGTAAATCTCTCTCCCTCCCTCCTCCCCCCCCCCCCCCCCCCTCCCCCCCCTCCTCTGTCTCTCTCTCTCGCGCGCGCGAGCATGGTATGGCAGCCTCACACCCTCTGTCTGCCATTTTCTCTCCATGCTGCTAGCGCACTGGCTCCAGGAGCACTCCAACAAGTACAAGGCAAAACTAATGGCCGAGACTCGAGCAGGCCAATCTTTTATGTTGTTGACTCAGCTCAGCCTGCCTCAAGTTGCCTCCTTGGATGGCTGTGATTTGGTGATTTGGGAGAACCAGATTTTTCCTGAGTGTGCCTAGACCTCGTAGGCCTTGGAAGCTTCCAGAAAGAATTTCCAAGCATTTGGATGTGTGTGGTCTGTGCGCGTGGTTGATCCCTAGAGAAATCTTCTACTCTTCGACTTCTGGACCCTGCAGGTCCGAGTATGCGTTTCCTAGGGCCTGCTACTGACATCAAGTGGCCCTGGGTACCCTGACCCCAGGTCTACCAACTTAAAAACATTTTGAGACCCATTTTGAGGCCCATAGACAGACTTTTGACCCCAGAACTTTGATTTGGCCAAAAGCTGCRACCCGGAAATCGAGTTTCCTGGGGCCTGCTACTGACATCAAGTGGCCCTGGTACCTTGATTTGACCACTGACCCCAGGTCTACCAACTTAAAAACTTTTTGAGACCCATTTTGAGGCCCATAGACAGACTTTTGACCCCAGAACTTTGATTTGGCCAAAAGCTGCAACCCGGAAATCGAGTTTCCTAGGGCCTGCTACTGACATCAAGACGCCCTGGGTACCCTGTTTTGACCACTGACCCCAGGTCTACCAACTTAAAAACTTTTTGAGACCCATTTTGAGGCCCATAGACAGACTTTTGACCCCAGAACGTTGATTTGGCCGAAATGTGCGATCCACAAACTGGTTTCCAAAGGTCTTTGACTGAGACGTGGACTGTGACTGTATTTTACTAGACCGAGGGCCTTTTGGAAGAACTCTGGGACCCTACAGACCTACTTCTCATGCACAGCATTGAGTCAGACTTCAGATGTATGTTTCTGTGCTGGATTTTGAACCAGGTTCACTGCACATTTCAGTTCCGAACTAGAGCATAACCTGAGCTCAGTTATCACTGTACAACAGGAACAATTGTGAAATGGTTGAGTCAGTTACTACCGTCTTCACCCGAATAGAACGCCCGGTCATTATAGCTGCATTTGGCCCAACTTGCAGTCCAGATGCGGCGTAATGACCGGGCATTCTATTCGGGTGAAGACGGTAGTGAGAAAAAGAGAAGACAAGTCAGGAGGAGATAAAAGAAAGTTAGATTGAGCAACCAGTGAGTTTGAAGGATACTGCAGATGGTGTTGCATGAGGACCTCGTGCGAGTCTCCATGTCATAGCTCCATCCTTGGCAAGGGTACACTTTGTTGGGGCCCGTAAGCAGCTGTCTTTCCAAGGACTCTCCCCAAACAGCTCCTTGTGTCGGCCACCTCAGCCTCATCCACAGATTTACCGGTCCACTGGCAATCGCATGGATTGGCTGTAGATGCAGTAGATGCACATCATGACGGTGGATGCACGTTGAGTGCCACCTCTGCCTCTTCTGCAGGTCCGATGATTGGCATGAATCCAATGGCTTGGATTGGCTGTTGCTGTTGCACTTTGAAGCATTCCTTCGCATGCAGGTCAATTGACATCCTTTGCATATTGCAGGACACTCGGATCGAAAATAGATTGCTCTTGCAGCCACACGACAAATGGTAGGGCTCATGCTCCAACGAGTTGAGGTCTTGAAGCGTTGAGGACTCTGAGGAGATACTCCATCGAAACTTTGATAAGCCTGTGGTGCAAATCCCCCCCCCAAGACAAGAGGATCACCATCATTATCACCACCCAACCGCCAGAAACTTTGTGATTATGGGTATACAGACCTTTGTTCAGTGTCATCACCACTGCCACTCTGATCATCAGCAGCAACAAGATTATCAGCATTGCCATTATTAGCACTCTTGTTGACGCACATCCCACTCAACGCATCAGCATGCACAGGGCGTCTTAGAAAAATGGCTGGGAGTGGTTTAAGAATATCTGCATGATCAGCATTACTGTTGAACTTCGCAGTTGACTTAATAAAACCACTACGATCATTTCACGGCTGACTTGGACAATTGCGGATGGCAGAAAGGAAATAGTACGAGGCAGGAGTTTTAGTCCAAAAGCCTCGTACAGCTAAAGTTTTAAGAAAAAATTTCCTTGGGGGGCCTCCTACATCTAGATACCTCCCATATCTGTTTCTTTTCAAATGAAAAAGTAAACCGAAGAAATATTGTTTCTATTGCTTCGCCGCTGCATATAATATGGGGAGTCTGTAGTTGCAGGCAGTACCTCCTCTGTCCTCGTATGAGCCCTGGGAAGGATCATCCGTGGCTACCGTCATCCTATAACAGCCAAGCTTGACGAGGAGACACCAAACGGATCTGGGGGACGTTTCACTTTCTTCTGATGTTGATGGGTGGGTGGGCCCCCACTTTGACGAAGAGACATCTAGTGGATCTGGGGGAGGTTACACTTTGTTTTTTGTGGTTCCTAACCCGGTGGGTGGTCCCCTAGTTTCCCAAAGAGGCATCAAACGGATATGTGGGAGGTCTCACTTTCTTCTGAGGTTAATGGGTGGATGGTCCCCCAGTTTGACGAAGAGGTATCAAACAGCTCCACAGGAGGTTCCCATTACCGAGTGGGTGGTCCCCCTGTTTGCCGAAGAGACATCAAACGGATCTGGGGGAGGTCTCACTTTCTTCTGAGGTTAATGGGTGGATGGTCCCCCAGTTTGACGAAGAGGTATCAAACAGCTCCACAGGAGGTTCCCATTACCGAGTGGGTGGTCCCCCTGTTTGCCGAAGAGACATCAAACGGATCTGGGGGAGGTCTCACTTTCTTCTGAGGTTGATGTGCATCGTCCCCCAGTTCTTCTTTCTTGAGATATCATCGTCCAGCTCACAGGCCCCAGGCAGGTAATTCAGGTATTTCATTCACCTAGCTAGTATGCAGTTCGATCTGGACTCGAACTCAGGTCTGTGTTTTCGGCAGTTCATGGGTGTACCAACTGGTCTAGGCCCGTCAGCTAATCCCCCAGTTTGACGACGAAACTTTCTTTTTCGAAAGCTCCGGTTACCGCGTGGGTGGCCCCCCTGTTTGTCGAAGGGACATGCAGTGGATCTCGGGGAGGTTTCACTTTTTTTTCTCTCAATTTTTTCCTCACACTACCTACCTACCACTACTCCTACCTATAGGCATAGGGGGAAACCCGTAGCATACCAGAGCCGTGTTTTTACGGCCCCTCGAGCCTGCAGGATACCGGCCAGGGGACGGCCGGTAGCACCAGGGATAAAGCGGACCAATCCCCCGTGCCTCCCCTCAGGCCCCTCCCCTACGAACATAGCAGACTCTGCTTGATGCCGATCGGGGGATCCAGTGGTCTATCTCTTGGGTAGCGGGTGCCAAGTAAGCCCAGGAAGGCATGAGGCCGATGGGGATTGAACCCTTTGCTGGGTGGGTGGGCCCGCAGTTGAGACATCAAACGTGATTTGGATTTTCTCTTGAGGTTGCCCGGTGTGTGGTTCCCCAGTTTGACGGATAGACATCCAATGGCTCTTGTGGGGGTAGCCATTTCTTTTGAGGTTGCTGGACGGGTGGTCCCGAAGAGGGGAGGGGGGAAGGAGAAGGGAAGGGGAACCAAGAACACGAAACTGGGGAGGGGCTCTTTCCTTTGTCGCCTGTCATCCCTCCTCTCGCGTTCCTTAGACCACCACTCCTGCGAGGAACCCTCCTTTCTCCCAAATGCCGACTACAGAATGTTCCCGACGGGTTTCTCCCCTCCCGAACGGCCTTCCAGAAACTGGCATCATAGTAACCAGGCTTGTCAACTGCAACCTGACCATAGGCATTCACAGCGACCGAACATGCTTATTCCTACGCGAAAGATCGAGAGAGAGAGGGCGGGAGAGAGAGAGAGACAGAGAGGAGTGTACTCTCTCTCTCTCTCTCTCTCTCTCTCTCTCTCTCTCTCTCTCTCTCTCTCTCTCTCTCTCTCTCTCTCTCTCCTTTGCACTTTGAGTCAGGACACTCCCCTTGTCTTGGAGGTAGTTCTGGTGGTGTCTAGCAATCCGTTTGTCCTCCCTTACTATCATGTCACCTGACGAAAAGGACAACTGAAAAGCCGTCTTCACTCGAGTAGAAGACCCGGTTATTACACCTGCATTTGGGTCAACTTACGGTCCAGATACAGCGATAACGACCGGACGTTCTATGCATGTGAAAACGGTAGGCGAGTTTATGTTCCCCGTTGAATGCCATGCAAAACCAGATCACGCTCTGACGCAGCTTGCCCTGGGTAGGGAGAGTTTGAACTCCACAGAATCTCGACTTCCTGTGCATGCACTTGGCACTGGGAGCCGGGCCGTACTGCTGCTAAAGTTCGTGTTAGGGTAGCATGAATCTAGAGGGAAAGGTTGCTACGTTCATGCTAGCCTAGGCACAAATATAACACCAGTGAGGGCCGCTTAGAATGTTTTCCTGATAACCGGATCCCATCGTCTGAACTTCAAGATGAGCCATTCGTCTTCCCTTTTTTTTTTTGCCCTCTTCTTTGTTTTTTGAAGGGCATCAGACTTGAGATATCATCATCGAACTGAAAGGCCCTTGGTGATTGTAGAATTGTTACAGTAGTACTTTAATCTGCTTCTGCTTCGGAATCCACGTGAGTTCAAACTCAGGTCTGTATTTCAACAGTTCAGGGGTGTACCAACTGATCTATGCCAGCTGGTGATGAGCCATTCTTCTGTCGGTTCACCGATCGCACAATGGATAAGAATCAAGCGTCGATGTAATAGTATTCGTCTTTGACGACTGCCTTGGGATCGTCAATGAACTGACCGGCCAAAGGTAATTCTGTTCATCTGATTGCATCTGGATTCGAACTTGGGTGGGTCTGTACTTCAACAGCTCAGGGGTGTAGCAACTGAGTTAAGCCTGTTGGTTTTCTTCTTTTATCTGTTCGCCGATCGCATCATGGATAAGAAAGAACCATCGGTCTTTATCCTCCCCACC